TTAACCAACTGAGCCACCCAGGTGCCCCAGAGCAGGAAAACCTTTAAGGCACAGGGAGGAGGCTGTGCGTGAAAGCCTCGCTGGGTGCAGTGATGGCCCATGGTGGGGCTCGATTACAAGCAAGGGCCCCAATTAGCTCTAGCTCTCTGGAATGTAAGTTGGGCTAGATGGGTCCAGAGCCATAAAAATTGTCCATCATCTTTGACTTGGGAAATCTGCTTAGGACAAGCAAACTGTTTCAAAAACAGAAGGATAGTGCTTGCCTTGGTGTTAGTTTATAACAGGAAAGGCAAAATCTGTGCCGAGAGCAAACTGACCTGGACCGCGTGGCTCTAAGCCCGTGGATGCTGATGGAGTTTGCTTTATGTTCTCGGGGAGGGGTGTCGAGTCAGTAGTCCTTTGCAGGTGCATCAGGGAAACATTTATTGGGGCGCCTGGGTGGCTCAGTCGGGTGAGCGTCCGACTTCAGCTCAGGTCATGATCGCGCAGTTTGTGAGTTCGAGCCCCACATCAGGCTCTGTTCTGACAGCTCGGAGCCTGGAGCCTGCTTCGGATTCTGTGTCTCCCTCTCTCTCTGCCTCTCCCCTGCTCACACTCTGTCTGTCTGTCTCTCTGTAAAACATACATAAACATTAAAAAAATTTTTTTAAAAAAGGAAGCATTTATTGAGCACCAGAATAGACAGAGCTGAGTTATGTGTGGATGCAAATTCGACTGAGTCCATCTCGTGTCCATTTCCTACTGCTGCTGTAACATAGTACATCCAACTTAGTGGCTTAACCAATACATATTTATCATCTTACAGCCCAGTACGTCAGAAGCCTGAAAGGGTCTCTGTGGGCTAAAAGCAAGATGCCTGCACGGCTGTTTTCCTCTCTGGAAGCTTTAGGGGAGAATCTGTGTCCTTGTCCTTTCCAGCATGCAGAGCCTGCCCGTGTTCCTAGGCTCGTTGATTCCTTCCTCCACCTTCAAAGCCAGCAATGGTGAGCAGAATCCTTCTCACACTGCGTCACTCTGACCTTTTCCAGTGGTCACAGCTCCCTCAGACTCCCTTCTGCTTCTCTGTTCCATTTTTAAGGACCCATGTGATTATGCTGGACCCTCCCAGATAATCCAGGATAATCTGGTTTCAGGTCAGCTGACAAGCAGCCTTAATTCCCTTTTGCCACGTAATGCAGAAGAGTCACAGGCTCTGGGGATTCGGATATGGACATCTGTTTGTGTGTGTGTGTGTGTGTGTGTGTGTGTGTGTGTGTAATCCAGAAATTCCTGACTGGAGCTAGATGCTGTCCAACTCCGGTTTCCTTCTCTTCCTTGCAAAAGCTCTCCCATCACTCACTTGGGTCTCCCTGCTGTCACATAATCACCACGTGCCCTTTCCCACTCCCACGTGCCCATTGCTGCCCCTACCTGGCTACCCTTGTTTCTTCTGACTCCCTGCCCAAATCCCACCCACCCTTCACAGCCCAGATCAGATTCCACATCCTCCATGACTTGTCCGTGTGCGCCCTCACCCAGGGCTTCTATCGCATTTATATTTTCAATTACATGATACGCTACCGAAGTGGAATCACTCTCAGGCACTACTATCTCCATTTTAGTGTTTTATTATGCCTCAGCTAGCTTTTAACCACTCTGATATCAGGGCATGTGTTGTAATTCTTCTATCACCCTCATGGCACCTGGCATTGTGGTGCCAAGGAAAAGTTTGCCAAAGTTGTTCAAGCTACCTGAACAAATGGAACTCACGAAGGTACTGGACCCTGGGAATGGACTTGCGGTCCAAAGGGAGTCCTGCTCTACTTTTTTTTTAATGTTTATTTATTTTTGACACAGGGAGCACCAGCAAGGAAGGGGCAGAGAGAGAGAGGGAGACAGAGAATCCAAAGCAGGCTCTGTACTGTCAGTGCAGAGCCCGATGTGGGGCTCAAACTCACGAACTGCAAGATCATGACTTGAGCCGAAATCAAGAGTCAGACGCTTTGCTGACTGAGCCCCCAGGCAGCCCTGGGGGTCCTGCTGTAAAGGCGATCAGTCTGGAGGCAGGGTACCGACCAGCTGACGAGTGCCTTATGGTGTGATGTGACGAGAGCTGGAATAGAACTACGCTTAGGAGGGGCATCAAGGTCAGCTGGTGGGCGGATCAAGGAAGGCTTTTCAGAGGAGGTGATGTTTGAGCTGAGTTTGGAGAAATGAGTAGGAGTGAGCTAGATAAAGGGATGTGGGAGAAAGGCTCTATTCCGAGAGGGAGAGGAGCATTCTAAGCAGAACAAAGAGGGGCAGGCTCAATTGGTAGAGCACATGACTCTTGATCTCAGGGTTGTGAGTTTGGGCCCCACATTTAGTGCAGAGAATATTTAAAAATAAAATCGTAAAGAAAAGCTGAACAAAGAGACTTACTGAATTCTGGAAAAGTTACTCACCCTCCACCAGATATAAGAGTATTATAGATGCTAAATTCTGTCAACTTGGCTTTCCCAGCCTCCTGACACAAACTCACTGCTCTGATCACTTGAGCCTCCTCTGTTCTGGTCCATAGTCATGGCGTGCTTTCCCCCAGCCTTGCACCTTCGTCCATTAACTTGGAAAAAACGGTGAAAGCTGATATTCACAAGTGAAACCAACAGAGAATGGACAAAAATGATTGAGTCGTACTAAGTCAAAAAACTAACAATGATAATACCTGTGACAGACAATAAATAATATTGTGAACGTATAACCTGATAAGGAAAAGTCAAAACTTAAAAAAAAAAAAAAAACCAGACAAAGGATATGAGCAGGCGTTCAACAGATGAGAGAATACAGATGACCTACAAGCATTTGAAAAGACATGCAACTCTATTTGTAGTCAGGGAAACGGAAAACAAAACAACAATTAGTTCTGGTTTCACTCATCAGATCGGCAAAAATTAGACTGATAACATTCAGTCTTGTCAAGTGCGTGGGTAAACAGAGACTGCTGATGGGTTTAGCAGCGTGAAATGCTAAACCTTTTTGAAAAAGTAATCTCAGGATGACTTTTAGAAGTAAAAATGAGCAAGCACATCATTTGGCTCCAATTTTGAGAATGTATTTTACAGAAATAATAACATCAGTGTGAAGATATAAAAGGTATATACAATATATAATAAAACATACAATATTGTATACGTACAATAAGGTGTATATATATATATATATACACCTTATTGTACGTATACATACGTATATATATATATATATATATGCACACAAAAGATTGACCCTATTTATGGTAGCAAAAGCCGGGTATAATCAGAATTGTCCATCAAACAGAGGCATCATTTAAATGAAAGTAGTTGCTCATGTCTTTTTTTGAATGCTATGATCATGATCGTAGAACAGTTTCAATATAAATACTGGTTTATGTAAAAAAAAAAAGAACTGTCCATCAATAGAGGAATGTTGGATAAATTATTGTATTTATTTATTTATTTATTTGAGAGAGAGAGAGGGAGGGAGAGGGAACGAGTGAGTGAGGGACAGAGACAGAGAGACACAGACAGAGAGAAAGATGGAGAGAGAAGGGGAGAGAAAGAGGTGGAGAGAGAGAGGGGGAGAGAGAAAATTCCAGGCAGCCTCCGTGCTGTCATCACGGAGCCCTCAGGGCTCCAGCTCAAGCGGGGCTCGAGCTCAGGAACCCTAATATCATGACCTGAGCCCGAGTCGGATGCTTAACCAACTGAGCCATCCAGGCGCCCTTGCTTTATACTTTTTATTTTTGAGGTCAGACCCTCAGGCGATTTAGCTCAATGACCCTCTATTTGTTCACTTTGGTGTTTTTCCCTTTCCCCTTAGCCAGTGAGGGAAGGAGGTGAATCTTGAAAAACAGGTGTAGCAAACATGGGACAAAAAGTAGATAAAATTATATTGATAATCATTACATAAATGATAGTAATTACAGAGTACTATGGAGGTATTATGAGGAGAAATCTCCATGATGCCATGAGATCATGTTAAGTCGCAGGAGCAGTGCTGAGCAGGGGGGCAGAGGGAGGGCCCATCAAGGGCAGTGTTGGCTGAAGTGAGCGCCGAGAAAGCTATGGAAGACTGTATTCTCGGGGATGTCAGCACTGATGACCTCCAGTGACTGGAATGGGAGGGGAGGCAGTAACTTAAAATACATTTTGTATTGTTTGACTTGTGACGGTGAGCACCAACTATTTTTATAATTGCAAACATTAATAACCTTAAAAAAAAAAAAAAGTACTTCGGCAGGAGCTCAGCGGGGGCCTCCCGGTGAAGGGGGTGAGGGAGGATTCGCTCGGGCAAGTTCCTGAGCACAAGCCTTTTGTCCCTCCCTGGCCTCTCTTCTATTCAAATGAGCTAATTAAACAAATGTGAGCTAGCTTTCATTTCCTTGGTTAAGTGCCTTAGATCCTGGGATAAAAACAGCGTCATTTACATTTGTAGTGACCCTCTCTTTATATCCGTGAACTCCAATAATAAATTAATTAGAACCATTCAGCCCGAACCCGCCTCCCTGAGGATGGCCTTTCTTTGCGTGCGGGCCTCTGTCTGAATGGGGCTCAGGGCGACGTGTATTGTTATGGCTTCTACTCGGGAGCGGCAGGGGGAGCCCCGTGTCAGCTCCCCCGCATCTGAAGTCGTTGGGTACTTCGCTCACGTCTCCGAGCCTAAAACTAGTCGACTATCTGCCCGAATGACCAGGGAGAATGCCATTTGCATCTCAGCTTCCCGCTTCTAGGCCCCCGCCGCCGGGCCAGCGGAAAGCCTTTCTTCTGAGTCTGAGCTACTCCAGAGGTCAAAGTCCCACGGTCACCATGGCAACTCCCGGGGGGGGGGGGGCGAGGGACGGGGCGGAGGAGAAGAGTCCGAAACTTACCAGGGGGCCGCAGGAGAAAGCCACTTTCGCCAGAGATTTCAAAGTCTCAATTATTGGGCTGCTATACAGGGCACTGCTTTATATAGGATACATTATTTCTGGAAAAGTCGCTCTGGGTCAGTTTTTTGGGTAACATTTTGTAATTTTATTTTGAGCGTGCGAGCGGAGTTCCCTGTATTTAGAACCTTGTTGTAAAGTCTTTTGTAAGGTGAATAAAAACACCTATTATTCTTTTGGTGCGAGCATAGATGTTCAGATTCAAGTTGTTTTGAAGGCGGACACACCACTTTCCTTGGGTTTTTGGATCGTCGTGTGGGTGAGAGTTGGGCAGAAGCCTTCTCTGAGTGATGCCTTAGGGGGTGCTTTGATGCCCTCTACCAAAAGAAGAGCCTGGGCCAAAGATTCGGGTGCCAGTGATTTTAAGTCTGCTGTCAGAAGAAACCTGGAGGGGAAGGGGAGAGGCAGGATAGGGAAGAGAAGAAACCAAGCAAAGGTGAGGTTTCCGGTTCCAGACTCAGCCTGATCCCGTGGGGAGCTGTGGTGCACAAATTACTCTTCAGAGCTTTACTACCTAGAATCAAAATTACCAGGTGTTTATGCTCCTAAATCAGTCAGTTATTGGGTATCGGCTGCCGAGGGGAAAGTGTGAAATTCCCAGAGTGAAGCAGCGTTGGTGCCCAAGGTCAATTCTCTGAAAGTCATCAGTGGAAGCTGTTCGTTGCGAAGTACCCAGTGTGGGAGTGGGCATGCAGAGCTGGTGAAAGGGATCCCAGAGGATCCAGGAGGGGTTTCAGCGGAGTGCACTGCAAATGCCAAGCGTGGTGTACAAATGGCTCTGTAAAGGCTCAACCTTAACAAGAAATCAGTGAATTGAATTCGCTTCCCACAACCACGTATTTAGAACGATGTTAGAGGGGAAAGATGATAGATAGTACACTTAGGTAGACGCAGAGTCAGTGGAACAAACATTTCAGAAGAACAGGGAACGGATGGCTGTTATTTGGAGGAGTAGCCCCAGAGGATCACAGGGCTCCTCCTGGGGCCCGAATTACTAAAGGTTTACCGGAAACTGAGAGGAAAGGTACTAGAACAAAGGGAAAAAGTTGAAAAGGAAGACCCCACTGAATGGATACCTTTCTATAAAAATTAAACAGATAAATGTAAATGTCATGTGAAGTTAATTTTATTATGGTTATTCATACCATGGAATATTACATGGCCACTAAGAATAATGGAGAATAATAACCATGACATAAAAATGTTTGTGATTATTCAGTTATAAAAGGATGTTGCAATATTCACGGAAAGCATTTTGAAAGATGTTCTAAAATGGTGATGCTGCTTATCTCTCTAGAGGTGTCATGGTGCTTGATTTTTATTCTTCTGATTTTGCTCTTCTCTATTACTACTTATTTAAAATTGCAATTTATGAAAAAAAGCAGTCACGGGTAGCTTTGGTTGGTGTCTTTGTGTTTTTTTGCTTTAGCCACATGGGGTAAACATAGCTGAAATACAGAAGGCGTTAACAACTCTAAATCTGAATATATCTAGTAACAGAGTTTCAAAACACATGAATGAAAAACTTATAGAACTGATAAATGGCAATGATCAGTAGTTGATAGAAGAAACACAGAAAATCAGTAAGGCTCTAGAAATCTGAACAACACTGTCAGCCAAATCAACCTGTTATTTGCAGAACGTTATCACGAACACTGGCAGAATAGATTTTCTTTTCAATTGCACAGGGGTCTTCACAGAGGTAGGCCATATACTAAGTAATAAAACAAGAATCAATAGCTAAAAGAATTGGCAATATAGAATATGTCCTCTGAGCACAGTAGGATTAAAGTAGATTTCAATAATAAGGAAGTTTCTAAAATATCGCCCTAGGGGCGGTGGGCTGGTCCATGGGTGGAACCTATGACTCATGATTTCAGTGTTGTGAGTTTAAGCCCTATGTTGGGTGTTGAGATTACTTAAAAAAATAAAATCTTAAAGTAAAATAAATTATCACCCTAATATTTGATAATTAAGCAACAACAATAGAATCCTCAAGTCAAAGAAGAAATCACAAATATTTTGAAGTGGGTGATAATGAAAGCAACATATCAGACTATCAAGGATGCAACTAAAACAGAGCTTAGAGAAACATTTAGAGCTTTAAATGCTTATATTAGAAAAGAAGAAAGGTTTAAAATGAATGACTTAAATCTCCACTTTAGGAAGAAACAGAAAGCCAAATAAACTCAAAATAATAAAAGGAAGAAACTATAAAGATTAGTGCAGAAATAAATGCAATAGAAAACAAAGAGTAGAATTAGTGGAAACAAAAGATACTTTAAAAAATAATGAATAAGTAAAAAAAAAGTGAATAAGTAATAAACCCAGCGCTAGGATAATCAAGAAAAAAATGAAAAAGAACCAAATTACCAATATCGAGAATAAATGTGGAGATCTCACTATATAAGCCTACAACTTAAGAGATTTACAAATTTCTTCAAAGAGGCAAATTACTGGAACTGACTCAAAAAGAAATAGAAAACCCAAATAACCTTATTTTTATTAAAGAAGTTAAATTTATAATTTGAAAAGCCTTCTTATAAAGAAAACTCAAGGGAGTGCCTGGGTGGCTCAGTCAGTTAAGCATCCGACTCCTGATTTCAGCTCAGGTCCTCAGGTTATGATCTCACAGTTGTGAGATTGAGTCCCATGTCAGGCTCTGCACTGAGCGTGGTGCCTGCTTCGGATTCTTTCTCCTGTGTCTCTCTCTTTCAAAGTAATAAACATTAAAAAAACAAAGAAAAATCAAGGCCCACATGATATCATTGGTGAATTATATCAAACAGCAAGGAAGAAATAATACCAATCTTATACAAATGTTTTCCAAAAATAGAGAAGACTTCACAGCTCACTTTGTGAAGAGAGTGTTACGTGATACCCAAACCAAAGACATTATAAGCAAAGAAAACCATAGAATAGCATCCCTTATGAACAGAGATGCAAACAGTCTTAACAAAACTTTAAGAAATCAAGTCCAGAAATATGTAAAAAGGATAATGCATCATGTCCCTAATGGGGCTAATTCCAGGAAAGCATGGTTGGTTTAATATTAAAAAATCAATTAGTGTAATTAATTTTATTAATAGAGTGAAAAACTACACGGTCAGTTCAATGGAAAAACGTATATGACAGTATTTCCCCATTTATGATAGTTACTCTCAGGAAACAATGAATAGAAGGAAACTTCCTCAACTTGACCAAAGTCACGTAAGGAAAATCCTACAGCTGGGGCACCTGGGTGGCTCAGTTGGTTAAGCATCTGACTCTTGATTTCTGCTCAGGACATGGTCTCATAGTGTGTGGGATCGAGCCCTGTGTTGGGCTCTTCACTGAAGGCACAGAGCTGGCTTGGGATACTCTGTCTCCCTCTCTTTCTGCCCCTCTGCAGCTTGCACGCAAGCGTTCTCTCACTCTCTGTCTTAAAATAAGTAAAAGCTTATAAAAACCCCAACCCTATAGTTAACATCATACTTAATGGTGAAATATTGACTATTTCCTCCCCAAGACTGGGAAAAAGGCAAGTGAATGCTCTCACCATGTCACAGCTGGAGATTCTAACAGGTGCAATAAGGCAAAACCAACCAATAAACAAAAGGAAAAACATGTAAACAGACAGAAAAGTAGAAACAAAGCCATCTTGGTTCACAGATGACATGGTTTTTTAAAAGTAGAAAATCCTAAAGAAAGCTACAAGAACAGAGAAGTGAGTGTAGAGAAGTTTTAGGATACAAAGTCTATTATGAACAAAAATCAGTTCTGTTTCTCCACGCTAGCAATAAACAACTGGAAACTGAAATCCTTAAAGACATCACCAATAATAGCATTAAAATATTAAATGCGTGGAGATATATTTGATGAAAAACATGCAACACACGGAAAAGATTTTTAAGTAGTTGAGAGAGATCAAAGAAGCCTTAAATAATAGGAGATATATGATGTTTGCTATGGACCTAATTGTATACTCCTCCCCTACCTCGCCCCCATTCATGTGTTGAAGTCCTAACTCCCAATGTGACTGTATTTGTGGCCTCCGAGGAAGCGGCTAAAATTAAATGAGGTCAAGAGGGTGGAGATCTGATTCAATAGGATTAGTATCCCTATGAGAGGCGCCCCCAGAGAGCTCTCTTTCTGTGTCTCCCTATCTCCTTCTCTCCCGTGTGCACACAAAGAAGTCACGTGAGCATAGTGAGATGTAGCAGAGGAAAAGCCTCAGGATGAAACCTGCCTTGCTGGCGCCTTGACTTTGGGCTTTGCAGCCTCCAGAACTGTGAGAAATAAATGCCTGGTGTTTAAGCCACGCCATCTGTGGTGCTTTGTTATGGCGGCCTGAGCAGACTAACACAATGTTCATGGATCAGAAGACTCCACAGTGTTGAGCTGTCAGTTTGGTGCGCCTGGCTGGCTTAGTCAGTAGAGCATGCAACTCTCCATTTCAGGGTCATAAGTTCAAGCCCCATGTTGGGTGTGGAGCCTGCTTAAAAAAAAATGTCAGTTCAACTTAGATCCACCTAGAGATTCAACACAGTTCCAATTAAAATACCAGAAGACATTTTTATTGAAATTGGCAAGCTGTTTCTAACATTTACATGAAGATTCAAAGGACCTAGCAGGGCCAAAACAACAGAGGAAAAGGGCAAAGTTAGAAAACTTATCCTACCTGATTTCAAGACTTTGTTACACAGCTACAGGAATCGAGACAGTGTGGTACTGGTGTGAAGATAACTATCCAGTTCAATGGAACCAAATAGAAAGCTCCGAACTAGACCATCACATATTGGACCAACAGATTCTCAGAGGAGCTGTCAAAGCCTCTTAAGAATAAGAACTTTTTGTCCACTAAATGCCACCAGCAAGAGAGTGTAAGTCAGAATCCAGAATTATTATACCAATAGTATGAGCAGGAACATTTAATATAAAGAAATACAATATAAAGAAAAAGAAGAAGGTGATTTAAGGTTTAAAAAGGTAAAGGAAAGTGCTAAGATATAATAAAGGTAGTAATTTCAGGAAGTGGCATCTATCCCAAGGCTGAGGGAAAAGTGAACAAGGAAGGAGCTTAAAAACCTAGGGGCACCTCGCTGGCTTAGTCAGGGGAGTGTGTGACTCTCGATCATGGGTTGTGGGGTCAAGCCCCACACTGGGTGTAGAGATTATTTAAAAATAAAATCTTAAAAAAAAAAAAAAACTTAGAAGGAGAGCCCTGTAAGGCTAAGAATCAAGTCTCTGGAGGGTGGGGGACATGGCCGCTTCAAGAACATCCTGTCCGCTACTGCAATAACAAAGGCTGGAAAGTACTGGCCACTGTGGTAAACAAGCCAGGGCCCCGGCACACTGCTCCATTGGGTGTTCCATGCAAAAATGTAACAGCAGAAGAAAAAAAGTAACTCTTCACCTTCCAGGCTCATTGTGAGCCTCGGTATCTTCTGCATGACAAAACACAGCATCAAGCCAGCTGGCAAAGGAGAAATGCCATCCTCAGAGTCCGGCTGCAGAATCACGAAGCAGAGGAAAGCAATCACAAAGGTGGTAGATTTACAACTGGAACGAAAGTGAAAAGGCAAACCACAGAGAGTGGAAGAGAGTGTTCGTCATAGGTCTGCTGTCAAAGGAGTCCTATACAGAATATTTAAGGCACTCCTACAAATCAATACAGGAAAAAGACGGACAAGCCAACAGAAAAATAGGCAAAAGACTTGTACCAGTACATTACAAAAGAACATTTCTCAGTGTCAATAAGTATATTAAAATGTCATCCTGGGAATATAAATTAAACTACGATGTGATACTATTATACACCCACCAGAATGGCTTAAATGGAAGAGATCCTATATCGACTATATATCCAGTGACTTTGGTAAATTACTTATTCATCCTAATAGTTCTTCTCCCTATGTTTGGGGTTTCTATGTACCCAATTATGCTGTCTGTGAATAATGGCAGCGTGCTTTATGTATTTTGAAGCTCTGTTGTTAGCTGGACCAATATTTATGATTATGCATTTGCTCCTTTATTATTATGAAATGACCCTTACCCCAGGTAATATTCCTGCTCTAAAATTTGTCTGACATTTTATAGCAACTCCCGTGTTCTTGTTGGTGAGATAGATCTTTTTCCGTGTTTTTACTTCTGACCCATTTGTCCTTTAAATTTTTTTAAATGTTTATTTATTTTTGAGAGAGGGAGAGAGAGCACAGTGGGGGAGGGGCACAGAGAGAGGGAGACAGAGGATCTGAAGCAGGCTCTGCGCTGACAGCAGAGAGCCCAATGCAGGGCTCCAACTCACAAATCGTGAGATCATGACTTGAGCCGAAGTCAGACGTTCAACCAACTGAGCCAACCAGATGCCTCAACACATTTGTTTCATTCATTCATTCATTCATTTATTTTGAGAGAGAGAGAGCACACATGAGCTGGGGAGGGGCAGTGAGAGGGAGAGACAGAATCCCAAGGAGGCTCTGTACAGACAGCACAAAGCCCAACACGGGGCTCAAACTCACAAACCATGAAATCATGACTTGAGCCAAGACCAAGAATTGGATGCTTAACCGACTGAGCCACCCAGGCACCCCGTATTTTTTATACACTTGAAGTGGATTCCTTGTAGAGAGTATATTGCTGTGTCTTGCTTTCTTATCCAATCTGATCATCTCTACCTCTTGGTTGGGGCACCTACTGATGTGGTTAGATTTAAATTTTTTTTTTAATGTTTTATTTATTTCTAGGAGAGAGAGAGAGACAGCGTGAACAGGGGAGGGTCAGAGAGAGAGGGAGTCACAGACTGAAACAGGCTCCAGGCTCTGAGCTGGCAGTCAGCACAGAGCCCGACGCGGGGCTCGAACCCACGAACCGCGAGATCATGACCTAAGCGAAAGTCGGACGCTTAACCGACTAAGCCACCCAGGCGCCCCTGATGTGGTTAGATTTAAAAATATCACTTTGTTATTTGGTTTCTATTTGCGCCATCTATTCTTTGTTCCTCCCCCCTCCTCTTTTTGTATTCTTTTTATGATTTCATTTTATCACTGCTATTTACTTATTAGCTGAACCTTTTTGTTCTTTTAGTGATCGCTTTAGGATTTATAATGTAGACATTTAACTTATCACAGTCTGTCTTCAAGAAATATTTTACTACTTCACATATGGTGTGAGAATCTTATACCACTAGCCTTCCACTTCTCCCCTCCTGGCCTTTGTGCTATTGCTGTCATACATTTTACTTCTATACATTTACTTTATTTATTTATTTATTTATTTTTTATTACAATTTTTAAAAATGTTATTTATTTTTGAGAGACAGAGAGAGACAGTGTGAGCAGGGGAGGGTCAGAGAGAGAGGGAGACACAGAATCTGAAGCAGGCTCCAGGCTCTGAGCTAGCTGTCAGCACAGAGCCTGATGCGGTGCTCGAACCCACAAGCTGTGAGATCATGACCTGAGCTGAAGTCAGACACCCAACCGACTGAGCCACCCAGGCGCCCCTCTATACATTTACTTTAAACTATCAATTACATTTTAAGGAGATTTAAATAATTTAATAAAATTAGACTTTATGTTTACCCATCTATTTACTATTTCTGGGGCTCTTCCTTTATGTAAATTCAAATTTTCTTTTCTTTCTTTTCGTTCATTCGTTCGTTCCTTCCTTCCTTTTTCTTTTTTTTTAAATGTTTTATTTACTTCTAGGAGAGAGAGAGAGAGAGAGAGACAGCGTGAGCAGGGGAGGGTCAGAGAGAGTGGGAGTCACAGACTGAAACAGGCTCCAGGCTCTGAGCTGGCAGTCAGCACAGAGCCCGATGCGGGGCTCGAACCCACGAACCGTGAGATCATGACCTAAGCGAAAGTCGGACGCTTAACCGACTAAGCCACCCAGGCGCCCCCTTCCTTTCTTTTTTTAAGTAGGCTTCACATCCAGCGTGAAGCCCATTGTGTGGATTGAACTCACAACGCTGGGATCAAGACCTGAGCTGAGATCTAGAGTCAGATGCTTAACCAACTGAGCCACCCAGGCACCCCTCCAAATTTTCTTTTGACGTAATTTTCATTCTGCCTGAAAAACCTACTTGAAGATTTCATTGTACTAGTGGTTTGCCTGCGATGGCTTCTCTCAGCTTTCATGTCTGAAATGGTCCTTTTTTTTTTTTTCATTTTTGAGAGATTTTCTGTGTGTAGAAATTTACGCTGGTAGTTTTTTCCCAGTTGTCACTCCACTATCTTCTCATTTGCATTGCTTATGATGAAAAGTCTGCAGTCATTCTTAACGTTTTTCTGTATGTCTTTTTTTCTCTGGCTGCTTTTAAGATTTTTCTTAAAAAAACAAAAAATTGGGGCGCCTGGGTGACTTAGTTGGTTAAGTGTCCGACTTTCGCTTAGGTCATGATCTCGCGGTTTGTGGGTTGGAGCCCCGCATCAGGCTCTGTGCTGACTGCCGGCTCAGAGCCTGGAGGCTGTTTCAATCTGTGACTCCCTCTCTCTCTGACCCTCCTCTGCTCACGCTCTGTCTCTCTCTCCTAGAAATAAATAAAAATATTTTTTAAAAAACCCAAAAAATTGCTGGTTTTAAGTATTGTGATTATGATATGGCTTAATGCAGTTTTCTTAATCCTTCTTGTTCTTGGGTTTGTATCTGTGGGTTTATAATTTTCATCAAATTTGGAAAAATCTTAACTCTTATTTCTTCTGTTTTGTCCCTCTCTTTCTCCTCTTCTTGAATTCCAATTAAACATATGTTTGATGTTATGTCACAGAGCACCGAAATAGTTTTTGTTATTATATCATCAAGTTCATTACTTGTTTTCTTCTGCAGTAAGTCCACCCAGATTTATTTTTCATCTCTAGAAGTCCAACTGGGGTCTTATTAAATATTGTTCATGTCTATTCTTATCACGATCACATTTTCTTTTTTGGACATATGAAGTGATGGTTGTTTTTGGTTTTTTTTTTACAAATAGTTTATTGTCAAATTAGTTTCCACATAACACTCAGTGCTCATCCCCTCATGTGTCCTCCTCCATGCAAGTGATGGTTATTTTTAATAGTCTGTCTACTATCAGTTGTGTCATTTATGGATCTGTTTTTGGTGCTTGGTGTTTCTTTTGGTTATGGATCCTATGGTCCTGCTTCTTTTCATGTCTGGCTATTTTTGAGTTCTTCCCTCTACTGGGACCAAATGTGATTCTCCAACACTTCAACCTGTTGATCCTAATTTTGTTTTTTAGAGTTATGTAAACCCCATGTTATTGGTGTATGTAGCACCTTTCTTCATTGCACTTCACAACCTTTTAATTGCCACATTCACTTGTGTGATCATTTGATCAATTCTGCCATCCTCACCAGACTCCCTCTATGATACATGTGGCTCTGGGAATAATCCCAGCCACCAATATATCCCAGTATAGCACACAGGCCTTGGGCACCAGAGCTCCTGGGTAAATATTTGTTGATGAATCAGTGAATGAGTGTTTGGGTTTAATGATTGGCACCTGTTAAGACTGCCACTCTGCTACCTGCTCTAAATTTGGATTTTGTAGTTTCAGAATTTAGCTCTTTGTCTTGAGACATGACAATTGGTCACAAGTATAAGAACCTTATTTGGATCCTGATTCAAGTAAACAAACAAAAATATGTATGAGATAATCAGGAAAAGTTAGACCTTGCCTGGATACTTGATCATATTGAGGAATTATTATTAGTTTTTTTGAGGTTGAGCATGGCATAGTGACAATTTTTTTTTTTTTTTTTTTTTTTTTTTTGAGAGAGAGAGTGAGAGTGGGCAGGGGAAAGGCAGAGGGTGTGGGAGAGATGGTCTTAGGTCTTAAGCAGGCTCCACACCCAGTGCAGAGCAGGATGTGGGGATCAATCATGATTCTGGGATCATGATCTGAGCCAAAATTGAGAGTCAGATGCTCAATTGACTGGGCCATCCAGGCACCCTATAGTGACAATGACTTTAGAAGGATTTTATCTATATATATGATATATATATGGATGAAATTGTGCAATGTTTGGATTTGCTTCAAAATAATTGGTAGGGAAGGAGGAAATGATGGGACTGAAGATGAAACAAGATTGGCCATGAGTTAATCGTTGTTGAACCTAGAAAAAGGATGTATAGGGTTTATTAATTTTTTTAATGTTTTATTTATTTCTGAGAGAGAGAGAGAGAGGGAGAGAGAGACAGCGTGAGCAGGGGAGGGTCAGAGAGAGAGGGAGATACAGAATCTGAAACAGGCTCCAGGTTCTGAGCTGGCTGTCAGCACAGAGTCTGACATGGGGCTTGAACCCATGAATGGTGTGATCATGACCTGAGCCGAAGTCAGATGCTTAACTGACTGAGCCACCCAGGCGCTCCTATATAGGGTTTATTATACTCCAAAATGTCCCCTTTTAAAAGTTTATTTTAAAAAATCCAGGGTTGCCTGGGTGGCTCAGTTGGTTGAGCATCTGACTCTTGATTTTGGCTCAGGTCATGATCTCACGGTTGGTAGGACCCGGCTCCACAAAGGGCTCTGTATTGACATCGTGGAGCCTGTTTGGGATTCTCTCTTACCCTCTCTGTCTGTTCCTCTTCTGCTCAGACTTGCTCCTCTCTCTCTGAAAATAATAAACTTTAAAAAATATCAGCAGTCTGACTGAATGAACAAAAGGTCCATGGACAGAGGTGGGAAGGGTATTCAGGATGGGAGGGCTCTGGGATGGGAGAAAGTCAGAGGGTTCAAAGACCCAGGACCCTTCCAAGCCACCCAGAGGCTGCCAAACCAGGGGTGTCTCTGACACAGTGAGTGACTTCTGAAGGCAGCGCCTGTTCTGTTTGCTTCCTTGTGTATTTGTTAACCGTCCCTTTCATTCTCCTAAACAGATCGGCCCTACTTACAGGCTAACTCAAACAGACTGCAAAAAGATGCCCTTTCGCAACAATCCTCGCTGCCCTGCGTTTACTCAGGCCGGGCTCCCAGATGACTTGATGATTCTTCTTTGACAGAGTGTGTCTGCAATTTGAAACAGGAGCTCAGAGCAGGCACTCAGGTGGCACCATGGGAGCTTCTGGTCTCTTACTTACCTGCTTACTCCCTGACCGTTTTTAGGATTCAAGATGTGAACGCCAGTCCTTTCTGATTGGTGTTTCTCCTTTTCGCAAGGGCTGCTGGGAGGGAACTTCTGAGAAGCTACTGAGGCCCCACCCGGGCCCCTCCCACCTAAGCCCCACCCACCGAGGCCCCACCGAGGCCCCGCCCACTGTTCTCAGCTCACTCGCCTCGATGCCAGCCTGGAGGGAGTGATTTCTCAGGCTCAGACCCTCCGTCCTCCCCATTTCTGCAGTACCCACGTATCCGTTTTCTGCGGGCTGCTGGCCCAGAACACAGAAGGCTGGTGCTTCTCTAAGATCTGACCAGGACAACTCAGTGTTTTAGGCAAATGAGGTCATCCAGTGGAAAATTTTATCTTAACTTCCTCTGGGTCCTCCTGTGTAAACAGCAGTCTATATTTAGCTGTGTATATCATAATTGCTTCTGTTCTCCCCGCCCCCCCCATATCCTCCTTGTATGGAGGTGAAAGCTAAGAGGATGTGGGCATTTTGAGGGAGCAAAGATGTGTTAATGTGCCTGGAGTAGCAGAATTTTAACACCACTAGAGTAAACGATACAAATGAAAAAAAATTCTGGAAAAATGATTTCCATTAAAACTTTTCACTTAGATGTTAAAGCAAAAACTCATGATGGGGTTTCTGATTTGAAGGCCAATAATTATTTTCCATTGTAAAAATGAAACACTCCATTTACAAACTGTTGAAAAATACACACACACACACGCAAAAAACAAACCCCCCAAAGCCTAGCCATGGCTTTTTTGGATCCCATCGCCCAAACACAAGCATAAATACATTTTTGTCTGTTTTATTCCACTAGTTTGAAAAATTTTTTTAAATGTGTATTTATTTTTGAGAGAGAGAGAGACAGAGTACAAGTGGGGGAGGGGCAGAGAGAGAGGGAGACACAGAATCTGAAGCAGGCTCCAGGCTCTGAGCTGTCAGCACAGAGCCTGACGTGGGGCTTGAACTCCTGAACTGCGAGATCATGATGTGAGCTGAAGTTGGACACTTAATGATCTGAGCCACCCAGGCGCCCCATATTCCACTCGATTTTTAAAACCACGGTCCCCATCATCTTGTGCTGGTGGTTGAAAGTCTAGTGTCTATAAATTTCTATGTAACTATCATTTCTAGCCTTGTTGTAAATGCTTCTATGCTACCCTGTGCTCTTCATAAGAGGCACACTGCCAGATGGGTCCTAGAAGATGCCCCTCATCTCTCTCTCTTCTCCTGTAAACGGGCAGAAGGGATGTTTCCATTTCTCCTGTTTTGTTTTTGCTATTATAAATAACACCAGAGCAAACATCTTTTCCTGTATTTGGAGCAATTGTTTTAGGCCCCAGCCCCAGAAATGAGATTTCTGAGTCAAAGATGATGGATATTTTTATGGCTCTTGACTCACTGAGCCAATTTGCTTTTCAAAGATTTTGCATGAATTTACACTCCCACAAGAGTCCTGACTGAGTCTTTAAATTTTGAGTGACATTGTCCCATGCACCACACTTTCTAGAGTAAATATTTTCCTGCCCAGATATAAACTTTAAAGATTCGGACGCCTGCGACAATATCCACCCCCCACCCCCCACCCCCCAATTCAAATGTTCTGGTTTCTTTCTGAGTGACATAAAGCAGTCTTGTGCCGCAGTAAATGTCTGTAGTCTGCCCTTGTTCTTCCAATCTGGCCTAAGGCCATCAGTTGTAATTCCTGTCTTTCTTCCCAGGGACCTGCCTAACGGTCCTACAACAATTCAGAAACCAACTGCCCATGATGGACCCTGCGAGATCCCGGCTTCAGCCTGTGGCCATGTTCAAGTTCTTTCTAACACTTGTCAGAGTCTGGTGGACCTGGGGGGATTAGCACTGAGTAAGGGGTTAAGAGCTCGCTCTAGTTCCCGGGGTGGCTAATTCACCATCCTGATCCCCCTAGGAGAGGAGATGAAGTTGTTTTCAGGTTTGGCCAAGTTCAACTCCACCTGGAAGGAGGGACACAGCCTCTCACCCACCCCCTGCTTCTTTTGATACTGAGAGAGAAAGAGAAAAGAGAGATTAAAATATTTACAAGTATCTGATCTTCCCTCCTCTGTGAGAGGCACGTAACAGAGAAAAGCATACAGACATCTGTGAGCATTTAGGGGCCGGAAAAAGAAACAAGCAGGTTTCAGCCGGAGCGCGTCAGGTGGTCGGCAGCGCCCGCTGGGGGGGATGGAGTTTCTGTCCTGATGGTATCGTGAGTTCTGGCGTCAGGAGAGGGGCAGGGGAGAGGGGCAGGGCTGTGGATGCAGGACTCATGTGGGGCTGAGGGAGGGATCCTCGATTTTAACTCGGCTTACTTTAAGAGTGAGTTAAAGTCTTGTGGCAGAAAGTTCTTCTGGGGCAGTAATGTGGGGAGTCTTGAAAACACTAGAAAATTGAAGCTGGGAGAGACCAGGGTGCATGCGGGCCCCACCACACTGCCTTAGCTCCTTGAGGGAGCACAGTGGGTCAGGGTAGGAGGCTGGGAAATAAATGACACTGATGATGACGATGGGAGTGACAGACATGTTGGTAATGACCATGGCCAACATTCTCAAGTGGTTGTTATGTCCCGGGCATCGTCCGAAACGCTTTATGTAGATTACCTGTTTACTCTTCACTGCAGGCCTATGCAGAAATGACTACTTTCGCCCCAATTTATGGATAACTGAGGCACAGAGAGAGTGTGTGATGCGGCTGATAGATTAGGTCTCTGGATAAATGGGGGAGAATTAGATGAATTGGAGCCTGAAGGCATGGAAGACAGAGGAGGAAGGGTTGGCGGGGATCTTTCTGGGCATCCAGTCATCCAGCCCTCAGATCTGAGAGTCTCCCGGGACCTCACCTCTCCTTCCCCTCCCATTATCCCTCGAATTCTCCTGCTGTCCAGTCCATCGGATGAAACCACCCACCATTGCGCTGCCCGTGTCTTTTCTAGATGGTTGTGTTCACTTCCCCACTGATGAGCCACCTTCAGATTACTTACACAGAGAGTGGTCAGGAAAAGGTCTGTCTCATAAGAGTGGTCAGGAAAGTCCTCTCTGCTGAGGCAGACTGAAGTGAGGGTAAGAGCTCTGTGATGGCCTGGGGTCAGGGCATTTCAGGAAGGGAGAACAGTAAATGTAAAGGCTCTGGGGCAGAATCATGCTCAGTGCACTGCAGCAATAGCAAGGGGGCCAGGTGGCCTGAGTGAAGTGAATGTGGGGGTAGGAGATGAAGTTGGACTAGAAGCTTGGGGTAAGGTTGTATAAGGCCCTGTAGACCATTCTATTCTATTCTTTTTTTTTTTTTTAAGAGAAAATCTTTTTAAAAATCGATTAATTAATTAATTAATTTTTGAGAGAGAGAGAGAGAGAGAGAGAGAGAATCTTAAGCAGGCTCCATGCTCAGCTTGGAGCCCAATATTGGGCTTGATCTCAGGACTGTGAGATCATGACCTGAGCTGAAATCAAGAGTCCATCAACCAGCTGAGACCCCCATGCGTCCCTCATGGTATCCTAGTCTTAGTGAGGAGAGAAACCTTTGCAGGGGTCTCAGCAGAGGAGTGACATGATTTGCCTTCTGGTTTAGAAGATTCTCTGCTTCTTTGTGGAAATTTCTACAGGGGAACATGGGTCGAAGCTGGGAGGCCAGACACAAGGTGCTCATGGCCTGGACTGGAGGTGGTAGTGGAGAATTTAAGAAGCCGTCAGATCCTGGATACATCCTGAAGGACAAGCTGACTGGATTTGCTGATGGACTGATGTAGAGTGTGAAAGAAAGAGAGGCAGAGAAGTATAACGTTTCCATTTATTTGATGGGAAAGAGGGAGAAGAGGAATTCAGGGGCTCCAATCGGACGTGTTCAAGTTAGAGGACGAGAGGAGCTCCAAGTGGGGTTGGTGAGGAGGCTGCTGGGTGTGCGTGTCTGGAGATCGGGGAGAGGGGAGCTTGAGGCAAACGTGGACCTCATCAGTGGGTGGTAGTTAAAGCGTGGAAGGAAGAAAACGTGTTCCGAGGGGCATCGATGATGTCACCGCTGCTAATGAGCAGAGGGAGGAGGCCTGAGAACGAAGCACCGTGTGGAGGCCACTGGTGACCAGGACAGGGCAGTACAGTGACCTATGTTGTTGGCACAAACACTAAGTGAGTGGGTTCAAGAGATCACAGAAGCAGAGGAAGCAGAGCTGCTGAGTCTGGTTCAAGAAATTTGGGGTGGGGGCCATGTGAGGTCAAGTTAGCTTTTGAGAACAATTTTTTTAAGTTTATTTATTTATTTTGAGAGAGAGAGGAAGAGAGCACAAGTAGGGGAGGGGCAGAGAGAGAGAGAGAGAGAGAGAAAATCCTGAAGCAGGGCTCGTGCCCACTGAAAGCTGGACATGATGCGGGGCCCAATCCCACAAACCACAAGACTATGACCTGAGCTGAAATCAAGAGTTGGATGCTTAACCGACTGAGCCACCGAGGTGCCCCTGTTTCTTTTTTTTTTTTTTTTTTAAAATGCATATGGGAGATGCATCCATGCTTGTGGTTAATGAATATAATTCAGCAAAATGGTAACAATTGATAATGCAGGTCAGACTCTCCCCAAATGTAACTTTTCTCCCCTTTTATTTATTGCACAGCTTGGAGCACTGATCGATGTGTTTAGTCATTGTCTGTGGTTGACGCTTCTGTGGCTGTCTCTGGCATTCATTTCCCCTTTGGGCAAAGTTATTTCCCTCAAATACGCCCATGGAACTAGATCAGATCCATTTAATGACGAAAATGCTTCGAAAAAACAAATCCCTGACTTTGATCCATGAGATGCTGTCCCTTGACCTGTGCAGGTGTCCTGCTGAGTCCATAGTAATAGTTACTGTTATTGAAAGCTTACTGTGTGCTTTACATGAGTTCTCTCCTTAAAACATCTCTGTGGTATATGTAATATTGATTATCTCAGTAAAGTGATGAAGGAACTGGAGCTTCAGAAAGTAAACCATCTGTATGCCCAGGGCATCGTGGAGCTGGGTTCTGAACCAGATCCTATATATAATTTTTTAAGATTTTA